GCCTGTCTTTGAGTCAACTGGCGGGGTTTCGATTCCCCGGTTATACGTGACAAGGAATAGGATCGCCTGTCCAACCTCGTGAGTTTTCTCAAGGGCCCCCGGTTTCCTCCCACTGCTAACGACCCCTACGCACAAGTGAATTATTAAAATAAAATTGAACCTTATCTTTAACAAAAAAGAGGAGAATACCCTTAAGCATATTGTGTTTAAAGTTGCAATTTCATATTTTTAAGTTATATTTTTAAAATTTATTAAAATAAAGCCTTAAAATAGATGCTATCTATAAACAGTCCTACCTTGTTAAAGAATAATCCTATTAATCCTATAATTCACTATTGCCAGTTGAGAAATTGGCAAAAATATCATTATTATCTTCAAATTCAAACGTTTGAAGATAACTACTTCATGGTGGAGAATAGAAAACAAGGGAGGTAATTGTGTTATTATTTCCGGTGCAAATGAGTTTTAAGTGTGAGAATGAAGCCTATGATCGTATAATAGTGAGTTGACAACCTATTGAGCAAAAGACACAGAAATAATTATGTTTTGACTTTCTTAGAAAATATGAAATTTTAACTTTAAAGAAATCAAACATCCATTATGTAAAAACTAAATCTGATTAATATCGTAACAAAGGTAGTAGTGACGATCGAGGCTAGCCTAAACTTGAATAGCAAATATCTACAGTCAGAGTGAAGCAATTTGACTGAAATTTTCAGCATATTCTCTTTACGTTTTCTATTTTTAAACTATTATAGCGAGACATTTCAGCTATTTATCTAATCTTACATAACCCCCCTCTAATGAAAGAAACATAATTCCCTTAAAATTGAATTGCTATCATCTAGGTCCAGAGTAAAGCAATTTGACTGAAATTTTCAGCATATTCTCTTTTCATGATTTATATTTATCTATTATAGCGGGAACTCTAATCTTACCTAACACCCCTTTAATGGGGGGGGGGGGGAATTATAACATACGATTTCTTGTTTTTATTTTGATTTACGAAAAAAATAGCAAGGAACGGGGTCTAGTCCGTCTTATGTGATGAAAAACCGAGGCTTTTGCCCTGGGGCGTCACATAGGCGTGTGCGTAAAAGAGAGAAAGGGAGAGAAATGGGGTTTAACGTCCACTCGACACAAACTAGGTCATTTCGGGACTAACATATGGTTTAATTTTATTTCAATAATTCGCTTGCGCGTAGGGGTCTTTAGCAGTGGGAGGAAACCGGAGGACCCGGAAAAACCCCACTAGGTTGGACAGGCGACCCTACTCCTTGCCACGTACAACCGGGGATTCGAAACCACGCCAGTTGACTCAATGACAGACTTTATGATACAGCGCGCGCACGCTAACCATTCAGCCATCCAACCCCCCTGTACGTAAAAGGATCATTGAAGTAAGAGTTGTAGTGCGACTGTCCGCGTACAAATTCCCTCATAGTAAACTCTATGGTGTAAGCCTGTCTACATTAGCCCAGTCGAGGCAGTAGTTCGTTAACTCCCCATTGCATGTCATTTCTTTCTGCAGGAATGGTTGTCGTTTGTTTCGACCTTCTTCTGACTTTTCTCCCCTGAAACAATGTGGAAAAGCGGAAGAAAAATAAACAGAACACCACCTGCTTTGCAACCTCGAAGGTTTTCTCCGGGTCCTCCGGTTTTCTCCCACTGCTAAAGACCCCTATGCGCACACAAAAATTGAAATAAAATTGAACCATGTGTTAGTGCCGAAATGACCTAGCTTGTGTCGAGTGGACGTTAAACCCCATTTTTATCTCCCTCTCATTGTAATCCCGGCATCATTAGTTGCACAGTGTTACTGTTATTTCTGTTCGGATCACTGCTGGTATAATACACGCAAGAGTAGTTTTGTACATTGGCATTTTCACGTAAGCTCTTGGGTAGATCGTCCACCTACACATATTGAGTATATAACGTTATGCATCATATCATATAGTTTTCAGATCAGTATGAAATGAAATGGGGTTTAACGTCCTACTGTTCTGCTCCGAACTGGGCTAATGAAGACGGGGATACGCCATAATTTGCGCTATGAGGGAAATTTTGGCGTGATTTCGGTTACTCGCTTGTACATTACTGGGAGTAGGGTTGCCTGTCCAACCTCGTGGGTTCCCTCCGAGATCTCCGATTTCCTCCCCCTGGGTGGTTGGATGGCCGAATAGTTAGCACGTGCGCGCTGTATCATAAGGTCTGTCATAGATTCAACTGGCGGGGTTTCGATTCCTCGGTTGTACGTGACAAGGAGTAGGGTCGCCAGTCCACTGCTAAAGACCACTACGCTCAAGCGAATTATTGAAATAAAATTGAACCATTTGTTAGTCCCGAAATGACCTAGTTTGTGTCGAGTGGACGTTAAACCCCATTTCCTCTCTATCTCTCTCGTTACCCCGGTTGGTGCAGACGCTAAAGCCAATTCCATGTATATTGTCTGATTAAACTGTTTCTTAAATTTACAATTTCATATTTTCAAAGAAAGTCAAAACATAATTATACGATCATAGGTGTCATTCTCACACTTAAAACTCATTTACACCGGAAATAATAACACAATTACCTCCCAATTACCTGCCTTGCTTTCTATTCCCACCATGGAGTAGCTATCCTCAAACGTTTGAATTTGAAGCCTAAAATGATATTTTTGCCAATTTCTCAACTGGCAATAGTGAATTTTAGGATTAATAGGATTATTCTTTAACAAGGTAGGACTGTTTATAGATACCATCTATTTTAAGGCTTTATTTTAATAAATTTTAAAAATATAACGCAAAAATATGAAATTGTAACTTTAATAACAATACAAAAAAACAACAACTTTAAAAGAAGGAACAAGTTTATATTTATACAGAAAGTCATGTAGAGCAGAGTCTTAAAAATATTTAACGTTTCCTCGGGGAAGCCAGTGCATACATAACGTTTCGATACATTAATCAGTACGAACAATACATTTCAATAAATGCTAAACATTTCGTTAAATTAATTAACACACATGAAGAATCCGCACAAATATTAACACATCCATAACGTTTCTGTTTATAAATAGATGCACACGTAACTTTTCCCCACAGACTTAAACACACCCGTAACGGTTCGGTAAAATAAATAATACACTCATAAAGTTTCCATACAGACGATACGACATCCATAACGTTTCGGTAAATATATCGACGCAAACATTGAGTTATCCCACAGACGTTAACACACCCGTAACGTTTCGGTAAGCAAATCAATGAACATATAACGTTTCCACATAGACCTTAGCGCACCCACAACGTTTCGTTATCTAAATCTAAAAACCATAATGCCCCCGTCAGACCGGGGTGGCGTCCTTACTGCGCTGCTGCAACCGTACGGCGATCAGAAAATGCACAACGTCGCCGGCAAACGTGAGCAGAAAGCGATAAAATGTCCCAAAAATTATTACAAAAAAAGTCGTGTTCTGACTGATCTCGAGGTCATATCATAGTACCTTGGCGTTTGTTTTGAACATGCTCAAAACATCACCGTGACTCGGCAACCATTGGCGACCACAGCATGATATCTGGCGTTTTCATCCCGCGATCTTGACACGCTCTGGGACCGTAGCACAATCACCGTGACTTGGCAACCAGTGGCGACCATGGAGACCACAGCACGATATCTGGCGTTTCCACCACGCTTATGGCGATCTTGATACGCTATGGGACCATTTTCCGTCGCATAGCAGTGCAGTAAGGACGCAACATCGGTCTGACGAGGGTATCATCAACAATATTGGTACATGTTTTACTACATTTCGTATGCTCTCAGTTGTTTCTGGTTTCCTTAGTTGTTGGTGAGCTTTGTGGGGAAATATGGAGTAGGAGAAAGCGGGAGTGCTGAAGAACGTCATTCTGAACTGTTTATTGTCACACACAGGACGCGGGGTTGGATGGCCGTTTGGTTAGCATCTGCGCTCTGTATCATAAGGTCAACTGGTTGTACATGACAAGGAGTAGGGTCTCCTGTTCAACTCCGTGGGTTTTCTCCGGGTCCTCCGGTTTACTCCCACATCTAAGGACCCCAAAGCACAAGCGAATTATTGAAATAATATTGAACCACGTGTTAGTCCCGAAATTACCCAGTTTGTGTCGATTGGACGTTAAACTCCATCTCTCTCCCTCTTTCTCTCTCTCTCTCTCTCTCGCACACACACACACATACACACACTCAGGACATCAAACCACATCTATGATACAACTCAGACGCTTTAGTTATCGTCCGATTTAAACCTGGCTTAAGAAATCTCTGGTAAAGGTCTGCATATAGATGACAGTTCTCCATGAATTGATTTTTCTCTTTATATTAAATATTTGTCATTTTCTAAAACAGCTCAGCATCCTGTTTTTATATTTTGGCACTACAAAATCTAAATCTATATATTATTATAAATTAATACAGCGTTTGGCAGTCAAGGCAACATCTAATTACCTCAGCATAATCAACGGTAACGTGTACGGAAATGTAAACGGAAATGTACGGAACCCAAAATGTAATCGGTGGCTAAGATCCAGGATGCGATTACATCAGTTACAAGAACATGACGAGCTTCCACATTATTCTAGTTTGTTATGTAATCAACTTCTCCAAATAACGACCAGCGTATTTACAATATATGTATAAACCCCTCCGGGAACACCCGATAACACTCAATGTTTTACTTTTTATTCTAAACTTCGTACGAGAACATTTCTTTGGCATTCTGGTTAGTTTTCATTTTGCGTATTCCCTTTGGTTGTCTGATTAATTACGGCATTTTAAATATTTTGCGGAACTTGTAATTGTTAGACCGATAAATAACAGCGGAACCACTCAGTTGATCTAGTTTTAGTTACCCCCCCCCCCACACACACACACACACCCTCACCCATCACGATGTCACTTTTAATTTTTAAAACATTCGATAAAAGTGAGCAATACCCCTGTTGCACCCTAATCACCCCCCCCCCCCCCACACACACACACACAGTTTTACCACATTGGCGTTAGGTAATGTTAATTCTTCCCGTGACACCATTTAACACAATGTGACTTTTAATTTTTAAAACATTCGATAAAAGTAAGCGATACCCTTGGTGCACCCTATTCAACCCTCCCTACAGTTCTACCACATTGGCGTTAGGTGGTGTAAATTATTCCCGTGACACTATTTAACACACTGTCACTTTTAATATTTAAAACATTCGATAAAAGTGAGCAATACCTCATTCAACCCACTCCGCAGTTCTACCACATTGGCGTTAGGTAATGTTAATTCTTCCCGTGACACCATTTAACAAATTGACGAATTTCACCTAAACAATAATCTTTTTAAGTTTTACACGTCAGTTCTCCCCCATCCCACCTCAGATAAGATATGATACTGTATCAAAGAAAGCAAGACAACAACTACAGATGTACCATTCCAAAAGAGGCTTCCATTAATTCCTGACATGCATTGACGAGTTGCGTTTCACAGTTCACCCGTCTTCATTAGCCCAGGTTAGGAGCAGAAAAGTAGGACGTTAAACTCCATTTCATTTCATTTCATTTCACAGTTCACGTTGTCGTTTAAGCACAGCACTCGCCAACCCCTCTCCTTCTATTATCACATATTAAGACATGCGCAGTGATCCATTCATTACGTCTGTACCCAGAATCTATTATATTTAGCTGGACGTTCGAGTGACATGTCAATACACTCCACTCTCGGGTTTATTTTGGGGTACAAATATATTAGTGTGTTTGTGAGATTGGTTGAGTGATGTGTCGTCCTTCTGTATTGATTGTTAAAATGTACTAGGCTGTTGATTGTCCGATTAATTCAACACTTGTGTCCGTTCGACTAGTTATCGAGAGCTCTGCCTTTTCTATTAATTGTTTTCGTCGTATACTTGGACTCTGTCTTAATTTTAATATATAGTGTTTCTCTCTTCGTACATCCCGTAATTCATCGTAATATTTATATTTGGGTCTAAATTCACACATCGTGTCTTTTTCAACTAGGATACCGTTCTCATGGTTACTGTGACATTCGTGTTCTGTGGAGAGAAAAAAAAAACATAAACATTATATATGACAATGAAATGAAATGGGGTTTAACGTCCTATTGTTCTGCTCCGAACTGGGCTAATGAAGACGGGCATGCGCCATACAGTGTGCTATGAGGGAAATTTTGCCCGGACAGCGGCACTATGGCCTACTTTTATACCGAATTCCAACTGCCAAGGGATCTTTTACGTGCACGCCAATGTGTACACGGGACCTCGGTTTTTTGTCCCATCCGAACGACTAGACAGCTGTCCTTGTCAGGCCCTTCGTCCTGCATCACTGACAAGGGGGAAACCACGCCGGAAAATCTGGATGAACTTTATCGGCCAATGCAGGGATCGAACACCCGACTTCCAGGCTAGCGAGCCAGAGCCTTACTCACCTAGCCACCGTGGCCCCCAACAACTGAGTATTAATCGCGGCAATCTGATTAAAACACAGATCCTATTTCGTTTCGTTTTTTTATACTTTACAATTTCGTTTTACTTGTCTGCACAACACTAGGATCTGGAAGAGTTGTTACATAACATGCGTTCTAGTTGATGTAAGACATTAGCCAATGAAACCATCTGTTACAGCCACTTCTTCGCGTGCGATGCACGGAGCTGTGGGTAAACCACTAGAAACGTAAACGCTGATTGATTAATCAATGTCTGGCGTCATAGGGTCAAAAGTGAACTCCCACTATAACTTGTCAGATCTTCATGTAGTGAAAGCCATCGAAAGTATAAAAGACGAAACGAAATATAGATCTGTATTTTAATCAGGATGTAAATATGGGATTTAACGGGAGAGATAGGGTTTAAAATCCACTTAAAACCAAACTAGATAATTTCAATAATTCAGGCCCCAAGTTTACAAAGCATTCTCAGACTTAAGTTAAGAATTTACTCAAAATTGTTCACCTTATTTTAACTAAACTATAGCCCTTTATAAAACTTTTTTTTTTTAATATATCAAATTCTTCAATAAGAAACTATGTGCAAAGTTTTGTGTTTCTGGATCAAAGATAGTTCACATAAACAGTGATTAAGTTTGAGAATGCTTTGTAAACTTGGAGTCAGGTGCTCGTAGTGGTCTTAACCAGTGGGAATAAATCTGAGAATCCAAATGAAATGAAATGAAATGGGGTTTAACGTCCTACTGTTCTGCTCCTATGCTGGGCTAATGAAGACGGGCATACGCCATACAGTGTGCTATGAGGGAAATTTTGCCCGGGCAGCGCCACTATCGCCTACTCTTATATCGAATTCCAACTGCCAAGGGATCTTTTACGTGCATTCCAATGTATACACGGGACCTCGGTTTTTCGTCTCATCCGAAGGACTAGACAGCTTTCCTTGTCAGGCCCTCCGTCCTGCATCACTGACAAGGGGAAACCACGCCGGAAAATCTGGATGAACTTTCTCGGCCAATGCAGGGATCGAACACCCGACCTCCAGGCTAGCGAGCAAGCGTCTAACCCACTTAGCCACCGTGATCCCCAAGAATCCAAAGGAAACCCACGAGGTCAGACAGGCGACGACCCAGTACAAAAATACAACACATACATGTGGTTTAACGACAAACAGTAACCGCATAAAATAACTGGTCACGATAGTTTCAATTCTGGTGGTGTCTATTGTGACAAGGGGGGGGGGGGGCACGGTGGCTCAGTGAGTAAGACGTTGGCTCTCTAACTTGGAGGTCCCGTGTTCGATCCCGGTGTTGGTCGAGAAAGGTCGACGGGATTTTACGGCTTGGAACCCCCTTGTCAGTAGAGCAGGGCAAAGGTTCGGACAAGGACACCGTACAGTCGGTCGGAAGGGACACTGTGGTGCACGTAAAAGATCCTCTGCCAGTGCAAAATTACCCTCATAGCACACTATGTGGCATATGCCCGTCTTCATTAGCCAAGTCGTAGCAGAACAGTAGGACGTTAAACCCCATTTCATTTCCATTGTGAGAGATAAATATCCTGTTAAGTACAATTTGTATAATTTAAGAATAAATAAGAATCAAAATTATGACCTAATACGCTCTCCATATAACGGAGTTTAAAATTAACGATCTTGGTATGATGGCTAGGACAAAGCGTGCAGTCGTTCGTTTAAAACGAAAACTCGTCGAGGTTCACTCGTGTGCTCGTTGGTGTGCACGTTAAAGAACCCCTGACAGTTAGATTCGAGTTAGTCCAATCTGATTAAAACACAAATCTGCTCTTCGTTCATTTTTTTACATCTTCGATGACCATCGCCTGGTGTATTGAAGGCAATTAAAACGAAATTTTGAACTATATAAAGCGAAACGAAATAAGTTATGCGGTTTAATAATATTATTCAAAACCTGTCTTGGAAAATATAATATAATAACCGCATACAAGGATCGGTAATTTGTGAAGGAATTACGGAAGTTTTAGGGACTCAAATTATTATCTGCGCAGTAATAAGATTGGGTATCGCGGGGGTAGCAGTCGGAATTCAAGAGGTTAGGGGGAACTATCGGATATGATAAATTGGATGTCCGATTAAATTATTATCTACGCAGTAATAAGACTGGGTATCGCGGGGGTAGCAGTCGGAATTCAAGAGGTTAGGGGGAACTATCGGATATGATAAATTGGATGTCCGATTAAATTATTATCTACGCAGTAATAAGACTGGGTATCGCGGGGGTAGCAGTCGGAATTCAAGTGGTTAGGGGGAACTGTCAGATATGATAAACTGCATGTCCTGTTAAAATGTTTATCAATTATTATTTACGCATTAATAAGATTGCATACCGTGGGGGTAGTATTTGGAATTGAAGTAGGTAGAGGAAATTATCGGACGTGATAAATTTAATTTATTTTACGTTAAAGTGTTCATTAAATCATTATCTACGCAGTTCTACTGTAATTGTAAACTAACAGTGTAGTCAAGGGGGGGGGGGGTAACAAAAACCATAACAAGGCAAGAGAAGGGATAACCATCTTTCTCAGCCATATTACATTAAAGAAGCCAAGTCTTTATCTCAATATCATCCACAGTCTTTGACATTGCAGACACGACTTATTTGTCATTGATGTTGTGATCTTATCGTGAACAGTTGGGCTTCCGATATCCAATAAAATAAAACTTTAAAAATTCGTGTGCCAGAATACTTTCGAGTGCCAGTTGTATGAAAATGATATTTTTGCCAATTTATCAGCTGGCAATAGTGAATAGTGATTATTCTTTAACAAGGTAGGACGGTTTATGGATACCATCTATTTTAAGGCTTGATTTTAATAAATTTTAAAAATATCACTTAAAAATATGAAATTGTAACTTTAAACAGACGATATGGGTGTCTATGTGATAAATGGACGCTTGTAGCTGTAAACCCGGAACAGTTCAACTTTCACTAAACATGCATAGAATGAGAAACACGTAATACAAACTTCACTCTCATTCATCAAATTATACTATTTACGTAACATACCAGTCACTGGTTTTTTTTTTCGTCCTCTCCTACTTGCGATTTATTGGTCTACATTTTATAATTGCAATTAAAATAAACTTTAAAATAATGTCTAGGGTTCTCAATTATGTTGTTTTCACGTTCTATTTATGATTTTATTTATTTAATGGTTGGGCCGAGAAAGCTCACCCAGAATTTCCGGCGTGGTTCCCTCTTGTCAGTGATGCAGGACGGAGGGCCTGACAAGGACAGCTGTCTAGTCATTCGGATGAGACTGAAAACCGAGGTCCCGTGTACACATTGGCGTGCACATAAAAGATCCCTTGACGGTTGGAATTCGATATAAGAGTAGGCCGTAGTGCCGCTGTCCGGGCAAAATTTCCTTCATTGCACACTGTATGGCGTATGCCCGTCTTCATTAGCCAAGTCGAAGCAAAACAGTAGGACGTTAAACCCCATTTTATTTTATTTCATTTTACTTATATAAAGGTTGTGTTTTTGTTAACCTGATAGGACCCGTAGAAAACCCACGAGGCTGGACAGGCGACCCTTCTCCTGAGAGAGAGAGAGAGAGAGAGAGAGAGAGAGAGAGAGATCTAGTTTGTGTCGTGTGGACGTTAAACTCCATTTGTCTCTCTATATATATATATATAATTTTGGACAGGGCATATAGATTAAACATTATACAAATCCATATACCTTGATAACTCCATTTAACTGATATAATTCCCTTTTCTGGAATTGTTGTTATGGTAACTGGAACGGCTGCGTATAAAATGGCATCTGGAAAATGTGCTTCTAACTGAAAAAAGATAGCATACGTATTTAGAAATCAATAGGATAAAAAAACGAGGTACTACGAATGAACATATTATAAAATAAATAAATGAATCCAATCGTACAGACTGTCATTTAAAGCAGCGCTCGCCATTTGAGAAAATAAAATGAAATGGGGTTTAACGTCCTACTGTTCTGCTCCTATACTGGGCGTACGGGCATACGCCATACAGTGTGCTATGAGGGAAATTTTGCCCGGGCAGCGGCACTATCGCATACTCTTATATCGAATTCCAACTGCCAAGGGATCTTTTACGTGCATTCCAATGTATACACGGGACCTCGGTTTTTCGTATTATCCGAAGGACTGGACAGCTGTCCTTGTCAGGCCCTCCGTTCTGCACCACTGACAAGTGTAAACCACGTTGGAAAATCACCATTTGAGGAAGTCACAGCGTCTTAGTGAGTATATGGTAGAAAATTCTGTTTTACTTACTGCTACACAATATCGAACATCTATAACTCGACATTAGTATATTTTACTTACTGCTACACAATATCGAACATCTATAACTCGACATTAGTATATTTTACTTACTGCTACACAATATCGAACATCTATAACTCGACATTTCGATAATCGAGAGGGACACGTAGGTGGGATATGTAGACAGAAATCTTTCCAATGTCTTCGTTGTCCAGGTCGTATAGCCTCGGTTAACTCGACCTCTTCTAGCACTACAGCGGAAGTATAGGTGTCGCCATAGGTCAGAAGCTAAAAGGATAAACAAAAAATAAAAAGCGATGTTATACAATCATAGGTGTCGCCATAGGTCAGAAGCTAAAAGGATAAAAATAAAATAAAAAGCGATGTTATACAATCATAGGTGTCGCCATAGGTCAGAAGCTAAAAGGATAAAAATAAAATAAAAAGCGATGTTATACAATCATAGGTGACGCCATAGGTCAGAAGCTAAAAGGATAAAAATAAAATAAAAAGCGATGTTTATATAATCATGATTAATTATAGTTTTGTTTTTTTTAAAATGAAGTGAGAGAGAGAGAGAGAGAGAGAGAGAGAGAGAGAGAGAGAGAGAGGAAATGGGGTTTAACGTCCACTCGACCCAAACTAGGTCATTTCGGGACTAACACATGGTTCAATTTTATTTCAGTAATTCGCTTGCGCGTAGGGGTCTTTAGCAGTGGGAGGAAATCGGAGGACCCGGAGAAAACCCACGAGGTTGGACAGGCGATCCTACTCCTTGTCACGTACAATGATACAGCCATCCAACCCCCCTAAAATGAAGTGAAATGGGGTTTAACGTTTTCGTTGTCTGTACCAGCCAGGAAAATCACGACGGGTTTATGTCACGCACAATGAGGAAACGCTAGATCGCAGACGGTCTAGCACAAATGAAGTCACATATGAATTGTGGGTTAGGGTTTGGGGTAAGGTTTAGGTCTAGGTCTAGGTCTAGGTCTAGGGTTAGGATTATAATTGGTTCTAGACCTGTTCATCTGCAGTCCTAACCCTAACCCACGCCCCATATGTGCTAGACCGTCTCCGATCTAGCATTATCTGGCATGGTTTCGAATTCCCGGTTGTTCGTGTCGTGACAAGGAGTAGGGTCGCCTGTCCAACCTCGTGGGTTTTCCCCGGGTCCTCCGGTTTCCTCCCACTGCTAAAGACCCCTATGCGCAAGCGAATTATTGAAATAAAATTAAACCATAGGTTAGTCCAGAAATGACCTAGTTTGTGTCGAGTGGACGTTAAACCCTATTTCTCTCTCTCTCATCTAGCAGTGAGGGTACTGGGTCCATTTCTTTTTTCGATTTCGAGCTGTCGATGGATACCATGCTAGGCCCGCCCTGCACCACTGACAAAGTCAGATCGTGAGCTTGTGCTTATATGATGTTCTATACCGACTTTCTAGTGTCTGTGTGTGAGGAGGGAGGGGGAGAATGTTTAACGTGTGGGCGTTGTATCATAGGTCTGTCATTGAGTCAACTGGCGTGGGTTCGATTCCCCAGTTGTACGTGACAAAGAATAGGGCCAACCTGTCCAACCTCGTGGGTTTTCTCCGGGTTCTCCTGTTTCCTCCCACTGCTAAAGACCCCTACGCGCCAGCGAATTAACGAAATATAATTGAACCATGTGTTAGTCTCTAAATGACCTAGTTTGTGTCGAGTGGACTTTAAACCCCATCTCTCTCTCTCTCTCTCTCTGTGACTTTCTTTCATTATAAAATCAATACAATGGTGCACAGAGTTTGATCTACGCATTTAAAATGACCCAAGACAGATGGATTTCGCTCAGCGTAGGCGTAAATCCATCTTCTTTAGTCCTGCTAAAAGTACGACTATTAAACTTCATTTCATTCATTCATTCATCAAATTCTGTTGACAGTCACGTTGGCATACAGTGTGACTGCGTGCAGTCATGTCAAGGCTGTAAGATCAGAGTTTAACCGTTGTCAGTCGCTACATTATTTGTTTGCCCAGCCGGGATCTAACGTTCTTATAAAGTGAATTATGTCAGAGCTAAATCTGACCAGATCTTTAATTTGGCTTCAATTATTATATAATTTATTTTTTTAGACATAGACATTTATTTACATGACATATTCTCTCTAGATCATCGGATACAATGGATAGTCGAGAACTTAGTGACACTGATTAAAAATTGCCCCGACCCCTGCTTGATGCGGGGAATTCGTTCGCATACCTTTTGGCATCTGAACGTATTTTTAACATTGGGACTATTCACAAAAAATATCTGTGTATTCAAAATTATTAGCTCAACCGTAAAGGGGCACTACTTTGTTTCATGGTAAACGATGAAAAAAGAAAAAAGTATGCCGACACAAACTGATTTCAACACTGGTTTAATAGCATTTTAGCCAAAGATTTTAGCAAGCGAATTATTGAAATAAAATTGAACCATAAGCAAGTCCCGAAATGACCTAGTTTGTGTCTGGTGGACGTTAACCCTCCCTCTCTCTCTCTCTCTCTCTCTCTCTCTCACACACACATTTATGTTTATATGATTTGAGTGTGTCTCGTTGACTCCAATTCATATAACTGCAATTTCAGCACCGTACGAGGAAATAGATATCGAAACAAGTGACATTATTGTCAATGATACACAAGTAAACTGTCACAGTGAACAATAAATGAAATCTACACGTCAAAAGATAACTCTTCTTTAACAATAAACACGTAACTCTTCAAAAAAAGAGAAAAAATGAAAGTTGGAACTAATAACCATGACAAATGGATCACATTTATCTTTCTTTTAAAATTTATAATAAACACGAGCTTTTTTCATTGGTTGTTCCGATGACGTAAAAGGAATACCACATACGGTCATGACGGACATGGCTTTGCAATTTCATGATTTCCGTATTATCAAAGGTATTTATTTACTAAATGGTTTCCAGTGGAATTGTGTAGAAACACGAAAATTACATTGAAAGCCATAATTATAAACATTTGGCTGAAGTAATTCGTCTGCAGTTGTATTCTTAAAGTAGCTAAGTCTCTAACTCATTATCATCCAAAATCTTCGACAGAGAAAACACGAATTATATATTAGTTTAAACCAACAATGATGCTGTGATCTTACTGCAAAATGATGGGCTTCTGATATCCAATATTTAAGACAAAATAAACATTTTATCATTGGTACACGAATCGTGTACCATAATGCGTTTCGGCCCCATTTGTAACAAGGGACTCGAAGAACGAGGCTAGACATATGCCACAAGTCATGTCAAACGGTGACGTCATATTCTTATCTGGAGAGCATGCACAATAAATACTTATAGACTGGAATAACCAGACGCTAGAGATCGGCATTCGATTGAGACTTCTGGCGTATTTCGTCGAACATAACTGATTAGAAATTATTGTAAAAACAGAAACGATTGAATGTAAATCAGTTTATATACATTCTATTACATTATTATATACGTTGCGACCCATTTGTGTCAATTTCTAGGTCCCAAATATTAGCGATTTAGCTCCTTTAAAGTTTCAACAAAGTGTTAAACGCCATTTTATATAACAATTAGTAGTAATTGAACTGAAAATACGACGGTCAGAATTCTATAAAATATAATAACTGTTTATTACTGGTCCCGAGTTCACAAAACATTCTCAGACTTAAGTTGAGAATTTACTCAAAATTGTTCGCCTTTTTTTAACTAAAATATAGTAAAATATAGCTCTTTATAAAACGTTTGTTGTTTTAATGTATCAAATACATCAATAAGAAACTATGTGCAATTTTTTGTGTTTCTGGATCAAAGATATTTCTCATAAACAGTGACTGAAAGTTGAGTAAACTCTTAACTTAAGTCTGAGAACGCTTTGTGATCTCGGGGCCTGAGTGATATGTTTTATAAAGACTAAAGTATTCTAGTCGAATCCTTCCTCAGTAATAAATATTAATGATATGAGATTCAATCGGATTAAAACACAGATCCTATATGCTTTCGTTTTTTATAATTCAAAATTTCGTTTTAGTTGTCTTTACTACATTAGGATCTGAAAGAGTTGTTATATAACCCACTTTCTGGTTGATGTGAGGGATTAGCCAATGAAACGGTCTGTTACGACGAGTTCTTAGCGTGCGATGCACGGAACTGTGGGTAAACCACTAAAAACGTCAGCGCTGGGTGATTAATGAATGTCTGACGTCATGGGGCCAAAAGCCGCTCGTACAACCAATGACGTGATCCTCCACTACAACAGGTCAGATCTTCATGTAGTGGAGACCATCGAAAGTCGAAAGTATAAAAAAAACGAAACGAAATATAGATCTGTATTTTAATCAGATTGTATGATATTAAACGCCCTACTGTTCGTGCATATGCCATGCGGTGTGCTCTCGGAGTGGGGTGTGGGTTTGGGGGTCCCGGCTAGACAGAGGCGCTACGGTGGTTGTTTTATGTAAACGCCACGTGAACTCAGCCTTTCGTTCAATCCGAACGACTATTTATTGCCAGGCCCTATGCCCTGCACCTCTACAAAGAGGAATTATGTACGAGCTCACTCTGCCTAGTGCGGGCCTTTCTTTTAGCTTCAAATCTTATATATATTATCATTGAGCCATTTATTCACATGACAAGACTTAGTTTCAGTTGTCAAGTACCGTTGCTACGATAATAAACGATATACGCCACATCTTCAAACGGTCATAACTTCGCCCAGACTAAAGTAATATATTCATATTTCATTATCTATTTTTGACTTTGACTTATTATAGCGAGAAGGTCCAGCTCTTTATCTAAATCTTACATAATCCATCTGTAATGAACATTAAAATGGCATTATGTAATAGTAAGTGCAGGGGGGCTGCACCACACAAAATTTACACAAAAACAAATACACGGACGGGACATCATACTCAGAAAAACACAAACATAAAGACAATTAAAAAAAAAGTGAATGGATTTAGATAAAGAGCTGACCATTTTCGCCATCGTATTTCATAAATAGATAATGCAAAATAAATATATTGACGATTTCATTCAAATTACCTGAATTTAAGGAAAGTTATCAATAGTTGTAGATTTGACAAGATGTGTGCATTGATCGTAATCACTGTACTGGTCATTCTAGTATTAGCCTCGCTTCTTCATTTTTAAGTTAAATCATTAAATGGCCGAACCGTTCTAATCTAATTAAATTCGGAACCACCCGATGGCATTGAGAGTTGATTATGGTCTTGCCATGTTAATAAATATCGAATTAATAATTTAGATGACATTTCAGGCTTCAAGAAAGACCTGAAATAGGCAGATTTAGCTCTTACATAATGGCTGTTTATATATTACGTAGAATTATGTCCGATTGTTCTCCAATCTGATTAAAAAACAGATCTATATTTCGTTTCGTTTTTTATACTTTCGATGACCTACACTACATGAAGATCTGAACGGTTGTAACGATAGGTCACGTCAGAGGTCATACGAGGGAGTTTTGGCCCTATGACGTCAGACATTTAATTAACCAATCAGCATTGATGCAAAACACGCCTAAAACTCGCCGTAACAGACCATTTCATTGGCTATTAAGTCACATCATTCAGAACACGTCAATGATAACAACTCTTCCAGATTCTAGTGTAGTAAAGACAAGTAAAACGAAATTTTGAACTATAACAAACGAAACGAAATAGTATCTGTGTTTTAACCAGATTGATTGTTTCCCATTCTATATTCCACTGTACCTGTTTAAGTTGTATATCACAATGACCAGATTTTCTCATTGATAAGTTGTGAAGTTGGACATCAACACGAATGTTTTCTCCAGGAACGTAGGCACGTTTAATAACAGATAAAGAACAGGTAACTCTTCCTGGGCGACAGCAAACAGAACTAAAAGATCTCTCGGCATGGTCCTCTAGAGCATGACGAGGCTGAAATAATAATACACATATTCATTAGTGAAGGGTATCGTATACGAGGCACAGTGTGCTTGCGCTTTTTAGAATATCCGATAATTCGGGTTGGTTCTTGATCTCTCGGGGAACGTGGTGTTGGGTCAAACTAGATTTGATCGGGGTGTTGGCCAAGAAAGTTCTCGGGGATTCCCCTTATATTTGCTACAGCGTCTATACGATTGGCAACAGGAGTGGGTGAAGCTTGCATGGTGCCCCTGTCAGATAAGTCACTGTGGGACCTTGCATTAACAGTGACAAATGGGGCATATTTTGGTCATTGTCCGACACACTCATACAAGACAAATGCAGTGTTCGTGTCAGTATGGTAGATTTATTTGACAGAACGTTAAAGACCCTCTGGTAGATGGAAATCCACAAAAGAGTAGACTGTATAGCGCCGCTTTTTGGGCAAAATGTCATTAAAATCGAGGTTACCGGCACCTCTCTGCACGTTTTGTTTAATTGTACTGCCTATAAATTAAAGACTGTCGAAAACAGTAAAACCTTGTCCGATCCACCAGGACAACGATTGCATTAACGAGTTGTTTTGCCAGGTTGTAAATGCACCCAGTTTGGTTTGGTTTATTTTTGCTGAATTACATAGACAACCAATCTGATTAAAACACAGATCCTATTTTGTTTCGTTTTTCATAGTTCAACATTTCGTTTTACTTGTCTTTACTACACTGGGGTCTGGAAGAGTTGTTATATAATCCGCGTTCAGGATGATGTGAGGGATTAGCCAATAAAACGGCCTGTTACAGCGAGTTATGGCGTAAGGTGCACGGAACGGTGGGTAACCCACTAGGAACATCAACGCTGGTTGGTTAATCACATGTCTGATGTCATAGGGTCAAGAGCCGCTGATATGACCCCTGACGTGACCTCCCACTACAACCGGTCAGATCTTCATGTAGTAGAGGTCATCGAAAATATAAAAACCGAAACGAAATATAGATCTGTATTTTAATCAGATTGATAGAACACGAACTTGGACGGAAAAGTCGGGGTGGACTGAAATTCAAAATGGCAACTTACCGAGGGTGTTCTTTTCTCTGCATCTCGTTTAGAATCTAGATCACGTAAAACTGTAAAATGTTTCTGTGTTGTTAAATTATCTCCCGTTGTTCTGAGTACTATACCAACCACCGTATACCTAACACTAGCATCCGGACCTTCAAATGAGCATGGTATACCTTCCGGTAACTTATATTGAAACGGAAATAAGTGGCGCCCTCTCTTTAAAACTTCTCGACTCTCCCAACCACCTTCGTCTGTAACTAGAACATAAAACATGATCAGATCACACATTTTAAAATCATGATTCTATTTCATCATGATTCAATCTGATAAAAAATTATGATTCTATTTCATTATGATTCAATCTGATTAAAATCATGATTCTATTTCAACATGATTCGTTGGTTTGATTTATAATAATACAATCTGAATTAAATAGTGATTTTATTTCACGTTGCCCTAAACATTTCTGTAGCATTTGTCAATTATTGTTTTCCAGTATCAGTCGGGTTTGTGTTGGTTAGTTTGAAGTCCAACTCTTGATCACTCTCGAGTCCCCTTTTTACCTCAGATGCACTCTAAAATCCGATACATTCTCCGGTAAGCGAAAAAGCACAGATTTGTTGCGAAGTTGTAGCATCGCAACGTTTTCACAGAATCATTTCGAGTGACGCGAGGGAATTAAACTTGATTCTACTTCTTCGTTTCAGTCAGGGTACCTTTTTCGTGAATGCCAACAAGTATACGGGACTTGAGTTTTTTATTCTATCCGAACGACCAGAACCTACACCACTGACAAGGGGACGCCTTACTGGAAATTATCGAGGTCAACACCTCGATCATTTGGTAAAACAGGAACAACTAGAACCCACACCTCAGAAACCTGAGGAACATGCTCGGCCAATATTGGGATAGAGTATGCGCCACACCCATCGCCCCACTGCTGTAAAACGATGATGATTGTATCATTGCATCATGTGAAGACCTTTTGGTTAAAAATAATCCGATATAGTTTAATTCAAGCACCTGAGATAATTCAGTTGAGCTAGCTAGACTGTTCTAGATAATCAAATAATATTCTGTCATTACAAGTTCTTAATTGAATTTAGTCGCCTACATCCAGTCACAGAACACAGTCATTTATCGACTGTTAAAGATTCCATGCTCTGTCAGCAAGTTCTAATTGTGTCTTGTAGTCAGTGATTGAAAAGCTAAACGATATCAAAACCTTAAAGGGATAGTCCCAGAGATATGTGTGTGTGTGTGAGAGAGAGAGAGAGAGAGAGAGAGAGAGAGAGAGAAACAGACAGACAGACAGTGAGAGGGGGGGGGTTAACGTCCACTCGACACAAACTAGATCATTTCGGGACTGACATATAGTTCAACTTTATTTCAATAATACGCTTGCTTGTAGGGGTCTTTAGCAGTGGGAGTAAACCGGGGACCCGGAGAAAACCCACGAAGTTGAACAGGCGACATTACTCCTTGTCAAGTACAACCGGGGAATCGAGACCACGTCAGTTGATTCAATGACAGACCTTATGATACAGCGCGCGCGTGCTAACCATTCGGCCATCCCCCCCCCCAATTATGAATGGAAGTCGTACAGCAAATCGGAACCTAGTCTAATAAACACCGCAGGCTAGCGATGCCATCGAGAGTTGACTGTGGCCTGGATAAGTTAATTAATGTCTAATTAATAATTTTGTGTGTAGTAAATGATTGTCGCGATTATCATGTCACACAAACAGTTGTTGAACGAAATAAGTTACGTAACGCCATTGCTTTTAAATTTTCGGACAAGGTGAATAACATATGTCGTCATTACATACTAAATTCAACTTTTATTTACAGAATTCTCGGGATATCCCTTTAAACTCAACTTCATGTCTATGTAATTTGTTAATTTCCTGCGGCATCAATGGAGAATATATTTTATTTTCTCCAACTCCCACACACCTTCATCAGCCAGCCATCGTATTGATTTAACATAAAGTCAGTGTTTTATACGATGTAGGCAGCCTTATAAAATGTAGATGATGCAGAAAGCCATTTATAACACGATCCCGACCGCATTATCCTTATTACTTCTTTTTTTTCATAAAAGTAATGTTTTCAATAAGCGATTCTGTCATCCGAAATACGTGAAGATCTAAATAAAAATCAAACCTTAGATCGTATTCTGTTATAGTCATGGAGCATTGGGAGTGGGTGGGAGATAGAGCGAGGAGGGAGAGGGAACTTAACGTCCATTCGATACAAACCAGGTCATTTCGGAACTAACATATGGTTCAATTTTACTTCAATAATTTGCTTGCACGTAGAAGACGTCTTTAGGACAAAAGGGAGGAAACGTAGGAATTGCAACGAAACCCTACTCCTGTTAATCGAAACCAAGCCACTTTACTCAATGAGATCTACAGCGCATGCGTTAGTCCAATGTGTACACGACACCTCGTTTTCTTGTCCCATACGAACGACTTGACAACTGTCCTTGCCAGGCCCTCAGTCCTGCACGATGAACTTTCTCGGCCAGCACCGGAAGTTAAGCCGTGACCTCCTGGCTAGCGAGCCAGCGTCTAATGCCCCCGTCAGATCGGGGTGGCGTCCTTACTGCACTGATGCTATCCGGGTCAGAAAGCAGAACCTTGGCGTTTGTTTTTAACATTCTCAAAACAAACGCTGTGACTCGGTGATCATTGGCGACCATGGTGACTACAGCACGATATCTGGTGTTTCCACAGCGCTTAGGACGATTTTGGCATTTTCCGTCGCCGTAACAGCACATTAAGAACGCCACCCCGTCTGACGGGGGTATTACTAATTAGTCACAGTGGTTCCCAGTTTCTAAAGAAGCATAGAGTAACCTATATATTGTACAACCTACGCAGACAATACCCATTATCGCACTTAAACATGGTATTAATGTAATGAAACCATACACCATGTTTTATCAATTAGAATCGGAGTTATCGTGCTCCAAAACATCGATAAATCAAATTGTTTATCTCTGTTCATCATGGCCCTCAGTCGCCACATTCACATAATAAACATCTACATCATGTTTCAACATTATTAAACATACATTATGACGTCATACTAATAATGACGTCATTGTATTAATCTTATTAAACATACATTATGCAAGAGCTAAATCTGTCTATTGCAGGTCTTTCTTTAGGCCTGAAATGTTATCTAAATTATTAATTAGACATTAATTAATTTATCCAGACTATAATCAATTCTCGATATTTAGCGGATTGGAATACATTTCGTGAAGGATAATTAAACGTAAAAATGGATAATCGAGACTCTGTTTTTTTTGTGGGTTTTTTTATAGTCCTGACTTTAGTAATGATGATCGAAACTAGCCTAAAATTCAAAAGCTAATATTTCGGTTCAGAGTGGATTAATTTGACTGTTATTTTATTTACATTATCTATTAACTATTATAGCAAGAACTGTCAGCTCTTTATCTGATCTCCCATAATGTATCTTTAAATATGTTTATCTACACTTATAATCGCACTCATTCGAGATATTTACATAACAAATATCTACACCATGTATGAACATTATATTATATTAGGGTAAATTATGACCCAATAGTAAATGTTTAATACATCGTGCTAATCCGTACAGTATTACTCAATTCGGTACACCAATCTGATTAAAGTAGAGATCTATATTTCTAGTTTCTTTTGTTATACTTTCGATGGCCTCTACTACATGAAGATCTGACAAGTTGTAGCGATAGGTCACGTCAGAGGTCATACGATCGGCGTTTGACCCTATGACATCAGACATTTGATTAACCAATCAGCATTGATGTTTCTAATGGATTACCCAAAGTTCCATGCAAAACACACCTAAAGCTCGCCGTAACAGACCGTTTCATTGGCTAATCCCTAACAACTAACAGAACACGTCAATGATAACGACTCTTCCAGATCCTAGTTTAGTAGAGACAAGTAAAACGAAATTTTGAACTATAAAAAACGGAACGAAATAGGATCTGTGTTTTAACCAGATTGTTCAGTAAACTATATTTTAATAGATCTTCATCCACCTTAATTACCCCCCCCCCCCACCACACACACCCATTTATATCTATTTCATATTGTCTTATATGTTTCTTTAATCACCTGTCTCCAGTATTCTTTGTTTTACACTTTAAATTGACCATATAAACTGTAGGAGAGCCACGGTGGCTAGGTGGGTAAGGCGCTGGCTCGCTAGTCTGGAGGTCGGGTGTTCGATCCCTGCATTTGGCCGAGAAAGTTCATCCAGATTTTCCGGCGTGGTTCTCCCTTGTCAGTGATGCAGGACGGAGGGGCTGACAAGGAAAGCTGTCTAGTCGTTCGGATGGGACGAAAAACCGAGGTCCCGTGTACACATTGGCGTGCACGTAAAAGATCCCTTGGCAGTTGGAATTCGATATAAGAGTAGGTCGTAGTGCCGCTGTCCGGGTAAAATTTCCCTCATAGCCCACTGTATGGCGTATGCCCGTCTTCATTAGCCCAGTTCGGAGCAAAACAGTAGGACGTTAAACCCCATTTCTTTTCATTTCATTTCATTTTGTAATTAACGTCTATGGGCTAAAGCGTTTTAAGTTACCATGTGTATTGTTTGCATAGACGATAGAATTGTACGATTAATGCCCTAGGCGATACATGGGGATATATAGACCCACATAACAAAATTAGAGGGAAGCTTTCTAGAAAACTGTCATAAGGAGATCAACTTCAGATCACATCCCTAAGGACAGACTTGATTTACCAATATTTGGATATTTGGAGACATACGTTTATGTCAATTCCCATATCCACATTGGAGCTTATCTACTGTTAAACATACATTATGCAAGAGCAAAATCTGCTTATTACAAGTCTTTCTTTAGGCCTGAAATGTTATCTAAATTATCAATTAGACATTAATTAACTTATCCAGACCATAATAAACTCTCGATGTCAAGGCTAGCCTTCGATGTTGGCTAGATTAGATTCCTATATGCCGAATTCCACCCACTCCTTTCTCGGCTCATAGTGGATCAATTTGACTGAAATTTTCAGCAAATTACCTTTACACTATCTAGTTTTTAACTATTATAGCGAGAACTGCCATCTCGTTGTCTTATCTCCCATAATGTATCTTTAAGCATTGAACCAACAGTTGTTATATTGATTGTCGGCTGTAAGTTATGTTGATTATTGTTAACCAAAGAATAGAGAAACATTAAAGATACATTATGGGAGATTAGATAAAGAGTTGGCAGTTCTCACTATAATAGTTAAAAACTAGATCATGTAAAGGCAATTTGCTGAAAATTCCATTCAAATTGATCCACTATGAACCTAAGCGGTTGAAATTTCCGGCTAGCCTTGATCATCATTACTAAAGTCAGTACGATAAACAGCATAGTCTCGATTATCCATTTAATCGTTAAATCGTGAAGGAAAGTTATGCAGTAAATCGGCTCATAATCCACTAAAGATCACAGGCTAGCGATGCCATCTAGAGTTGATTATGGCCTGGATAGGTTAATTAATGTCTAATTAATAATTTAGATAACATTTCAGGCCTAAAGAAAGACCTGCAATAGACAGATTTAGCTCTTGCATAATGTATGTTTAACAACCAAGAAAAGTCTTGTCTTCATTTAGTCAACAACGAAGATCCAAGAAAATAAACAAGGATTGCACTTGTACAATATCTCAATTAAAAGAAGCGTTATGATATACGAAAACGTGAGATGGACAGACAGACACGGCTGGTTCGGAAATCGGGAGTATATGGAAACTTCCCTGTCAGTGGTGCAGGAGGGCCTGACAAGAACAGCTGTCTAGTCGTTCGGATGGAACGAAAAACCGAGGTCCCGTGTATACATTGGCATGCACGTAAAATATCCCTTGCCAGTTGGATTTCGATAGAAGATTAGGGCATAGTGCCGCTGACCGGGCAAAATTTCCGTCATAACACACTGTATGGCGTATGTCCGTCTTCATTAGCCCAGTCGGAGCAGAACAGTGGGACGTTAAACCCCATTTCATTTCATTATCATTTTCGTTGCCATGGCACGATTTTCCTCGTAACACACTGCATGGGTTACCCCCATCTACATTAGTCCCGTTGGTGCTGTGGTGTACGACATTACGGCATATTTCATTATTTTACTTCTTTGAACTCCAGAAACGTAGGACGCTCCGTCTCATGTCATGTCATTAATCTAATTAAACAAAAAGATTGTCGAGAAACCATTTTATACCCAGACTGTTGACAAGTGATGGACAACATCTGCTTAGCTAAGAGAAAATTGTAATATAAAAATACAAAAATTAATTTACATTACCTTTTCCCCATAGACAAAATCGATCATCAAAATAGATCTCTTCTTTCTCGTGTTCTACTTCCGTCCTGCGTATTCCCTCGTGTGCGTGTTCGCGCCATTTAGCACGAGCCGATCCCTTGAACCTCAATTCGACCCCTAAAATAGAAATAAACAGATTTTAGCTCAACTTAATTGCTTCAAATGTTATGAAAACTAACCATCGAATTTTAAGTATTTTTGGGTTGGTGTTTTTGTCGTAGCTTTTATTCATAGCAAATTGGGGAGCTTGTTTTGTTTTTGTTTTTTTGTTTTTTTTTTGTTTTTTTGTCATCCCATCTAAACGACAGCACATCTTTCTTGTCATTTTCATTGGAACTACTCCTGATTGACAAGCGAAAAAAAGGTCGAAATCCGACCCTCTGATAATCAAGTTGTGATATTTTTTACTGAAAAAGAGGGGGGTTAGTTGGTCGAACGGTTAACGCGTGTGCGTTGAATCACAAGGTCTGTCATTGAGCCAACTGGCGTGGTTTCGATTCCTCGGTTGTACGATACAAGGAGTATGATCTCATGTCCAACCTCGTGGGTTTTCTCCGGGTCTTCCGGTGTCCTCCCACTGCTAAAGACCCCTACGCGCAAGGAAATTCTTGCAATAAAATTGACACATATGTTAGTCCCGAAATGACCTAGTTTGTGTCGATATGATGGTAAACTCTGTCCCCCTCTCTCTCTTTCTCACTCTCTCTCTCTCTCTCTCTCCTAGCTCTCTCTCTCTCTCTCACCTGCCCGGATGGAGGCGTTTCCACAGTTTACACAATGAAACTGATACTACCGTTTGATATTACAGTTGTTAAACTGGATGTCATGACTATCGATTGAATGTCATTCTATATATAATGTCACAGAATATTTTATCTGGTATAAAAATAGATATACCGAGGGTTGAATGATTCTTGTATTATATCATCAACACCTAATAACTAGGTATTGTATTTCTGTTAGAAACAAGATCTCAATTTATCAGATATCAATAGAAAGAGAGAGAGAGATGGGGTTTAACGTCCACTCGACACAAACTAGATCTTTTCGGGACTAACATATGTTTTAATTTTATATCAATAATTCGCTTGTAAGTCGGAAAACAAGAATGTAACGTCCATTCGAAACAATGACATTTCTGGACAAAAACATGGTACAATTTTATTACATATTGTCACGTAAAGGCTTGGAATCGAAACCACGTCGCTTGACGCAATGACATGCGTTATGATCTTGAGCAGTAGACCACTCCACCTCCATCACCCCCCCCCCCCCCAAAAAAAAAAAAATATCTTAAAAAATTAAAAATCATAATACAATATTATAAATCACTCTGGCATATTGTCAACTGAAAATGTCCCGGTAATCTAGTAAGCAGGACATTTGACACTCGGGTACAAATATAAATAACTATAATGTTAGTCGAAAAGTGATCGAAAAAGTGTGTTAAAGGGACATGAGAATGAGAGAGAGAGAGAGAGAGAGAGATAGAGAGAGAGATAGATAGATAGAGAGAGAAAGAGAGAGAGAGAGAGAGATGGGGTTTAACGTCCACTCAACACAAACTAGGTCATTTTATTTCCATTATTCGCTTGTGCGTAGGGGTCTTTAGCAGTGTGGGAAACCGGGTTAAGGGGACATACAATTTGAGGATGTGTGTATTAATTTATGATAAAATTTTGACGATTGATTGTGTAGGCTGGTGGATAATGTCATAATTCGCATTGGGGGGGGGGGGGGGTGAATGGCTGAATGGTTAGCGTGCGCTCGCTGTATCATAAAGTCTGTCATTGAGTCGACTGGCGTGGTTTCGAATCCCCGGTTGTACGTGACAAGGAGTAGGGTCGCCTGTCCAACCTCGTGGGTTTTCTCCGGGTCCTCCGGTTTCCTCCCACTGCTAAAGACCCCTACGCGCAAGCGAATTATTGAAATAAAATTAAACCATATGTTAGTCCCGAATTGACCTAGTTTGTGTCGAGTGGACGTTAAACCCCATTTCTCTCTCTCTCTCTCTCTCTCTCTCTCTCTCTCTCTCACAATTCGCATTGTATGTAAATGAAACTTAAAGGGCATTATGGGAGATTAGATAAAGAGCTGATCGTTAACTGTTATTAAATAAATAATGTAAAGAGAATATGCCGCTAAAAATTTCAGTCAAATCGATCCACTCTGAACCGAGATATTAACGATTCAATTTTAGGTCTAGCCTCAATCATCATTATTAAACTCGGTACCATAAAACACACTGTCTCGATTATTCATTTTGACGTTAAATGGTCGATCACAAAATGTATTCAAATCCAGTAAACATCACAGGCTAGCGATGGCATAGAGAGTTGATTATGGCCTGGATAAGTTAATAATTATTAGATAACACTTCAGGCGTAAAGAAAAACCTGCAATTGGCAGATTTAGCTCGTGCATAATGCATGTTTAAGCCTTTAAGGTCTGGAGTTTACAGTTTCAAAGATGCTGAATAAAAAGTGACACAGATGAATACGCACAGGAGTTATCCGAGTTTTTCGCATTGATAAAATACAAATATTGGCTGGATTTGATACAAATTAGGTTTGAGACCAACCAAATCCCCAATGTGGAACCGTTAAGATAGTAAATACACCAAGCAATCAACGAAGATCTCGACACTTCGAGGTTGGCCATCTGTAAAATATCATTAGTCAGAATGTCAAAACAAGATGGAAGCTAAAAGACAGACAAATTATATATTAGCTGTAACTGAAGAGAGAGAGAGAGAGAGAGAGAGAGAGGGGGGTAGGTGGTTTTAACGTCCACTCGACACAAACTTAGTCATTTCGGGACTAACACATGGTTCAATTGTAATCCAATAATTCGCTTACGCGTATGGGTCTTTAGTAATTTGAGGAAACCGGAGGACCTGGAGAAAACCTACGAGGTTGGAAAGGCGACCCTATTCCTTGTCACGTACAATCGGGGATTCGAAACCACGCCAGTTGACACAATGACTGGCCTTATGATACAGCGCGCACGTGCTAACCATTCGCCCAACCAAACCCACATAAAGTTTAAGAGATGAGATGAGAATATTAGTAGGTTGAGACCTGGAGAAAGACAAACGACCATTTGGAATGTCTCGCATAAACCCGTGTTCGAACCCATGACTTGCAATGATAAGATTCCTAATGATCTTGGGGGGTTGGATGGCTGAATGGTTAGCGTGCGCGCGCTGTGTCATTAAGCCTGTCATTGAGTCGACTGGCGTGGTTTCGAATCCCCGGTTGTACGTGACAAGGAGTAGGGTCGCCTGTCCAACCTCGTGGGTTTTCTCCGGGTCCTCCGGTTTCCTCCCACTGCTAAAGACCCCTACGCGCAAGCGAATTATTGAAATAAAATTAAACCATATGTTAGTCCCGAAATGACCTAGTTTGTGTCGAGTGGACGTTAAACCTCATTTCTCTCTCTCTCTCCCCCTAATGATCTTAATCCATCGCGTTTGATCACATGGCCACCCAACACCAGACCCGTCTTAATTATCCCAGTTGGAGCAGAACAGTAGGACGTTAAATCCCATTTTATTTTATTTCATTTCCTAACATCCGAATTTGAATCCCGCTGTGAGCCGAGAAGAACCCTGGGATAATACCCCGTACTGCATTTCTACCGTCCCAAGGTTTGTCACTACCCCGCAATATGTAATTTCGAAATCTACTTTTAGCTGTCTATGGCGCTGATCATATTTGTTTTTGAATTCGAAAGACCAGCAATATCCCATTTCGAAATATAATAACAATTTAAACTGCAAACTATTAAGTGTTTAGATAGATATATATATATAAGAGAGAGGGAGAGAAATGGGGTTTAACGTCCACTCGACACAAACTAGGTCATTTCGGGACTAACATATGGTTTTTTAAAATTTTATTTATATAATTCGCTTGCGCGTAGGGGTCTTTAGCAGTGGGAGGAAACCGGAGGTAGATATATAAGATATAGTAACATATTAACCTAGTGTTTAGTGTGATATATAAGATATAGTAACATATTAACCTAGTGTTTACTGTGATATATAAGATATAGTAACATATTAACCTAGTGTTTAGTGTGATATATAAGATATAGTAACATATTAACCTAGTGTTTAGTGTGATATATAAGATATAGTAACATATTAACTTAGTGTTTAGTGTGATATATAAGATATAGTAACATATTAACTTAGTGTTTAGTGTGATATATAAGATATAGTAACATATTAACCTAGTGTTTAGTGTGATATATAAGATATACATGTAGTAACATATTAACCTAGTGTTTAGTGTGATATATAAGATATAGTAACATATTAACTTAGTGTTTAGTGTGATATATAAGATATAGTAACATATTAACCTAGTGTTAAGTGTGATATATAAGATATAGTTACATATTAACCTAGTGTTTAGTGTGATATATAACATATAGTAATATATTAACCTAGTGTTTAGTGTGATATATAATATATAGTAACATATTAACCTAGTGTTTAGTGTGATATATAACATATTAACCTAGTGTTTAGTGTGGTATATAACATATTAACCTAGTGTTTAGTGTGATATATAACATATAGTACCTTATTAACCTAGTGTTTAGTGTGATATATAAGATATAGTAACATATTAACCTAGTGTTTAGTGTGATATATAACATATTAACCTAGTGTTTAGAGTGATATATAAGATGTAGTAACATATTAAACTAGTGTTTAGTGAGATTATTTAGTGACACGTCTCAGTTTAAATGTTAGAACAGTGGTTATTGTGTCTATAAATCGTGGATATTTTACAAGTAATTATAGGTTATATGAAACGTACACCATGTTAACAACTCGCCTGTAATTGTAGTTTATAGTTTATATGATTATAGTTTATATGAAATGAAATGGGGTTTAACGTCCTACTGTTCTGCTCCTATACTGGGCTAATGAAGACGGGCATACGCCATACAGTGTGCTATGAGGGAAATTTTGCCCGGGCAGCGGCGCTATCGCCTACTCTTATATCGAATTCCAACTGCCAGGGGATCTTTTACGTGCATTCCAATACATACACGGGACCTCAATTTTAGTCTCATCCGAAGGACTAGACAGCTGTCCTTGT